TTTCCCATTCTGACATTCAGTTTGGAGTTCAGGAGATTGTCTTGACCAGGACCACACCCCTAAATGCATTGAAGCAACTGCCATGTGATTGGTTGGTTAGATAATTGCATTAATGAGAAATTGAACAGGTGTTCCTAATAATCCTTTAGGTGAGTGTATATATATATATATACACACACACACTCACCTAAAGGATTATTAGGAACTGCCGCATACTGGATGTATGGATGTAAGGATTATATAGTCAATGTCAGTTTTACTTAATAGTGTGTGCCTACATTCAATTTGAATTATTTAAACAGCATTTCCACCGACTGACTCTCATTCAACAGTGAATTTCCACCGACAGATTTCCACCAATCATTTCTCTTCATGGGCGCTCATCAAAGCGCCCCAGAAGTGCAGCGAAATAGCCAATCGTGTATGGTTGCTAGGCGAAAATAATAAAGATTTGGCCTATCAGCATCGCCAAATTAAATGGTTTTGGGGCGCTGGAAATTTCGCCCCTGCTACAGAAAATGCGGGAAAGCTTTGGATTGCTCTCAGGTCAATCAGTCAGAGAGAGATGATGGCGACGACGACAGTTGAGGGGCAGCTTCCGCCAAATTCGGTGAAATCGTTATTGAATTACCCTTTTGCGAGAAGGACGATGGTGGAAAAAATCCACCTTAAGGAGCTGGGAACCCACAAGCCCGAAATAAATATCACCCAGCCAACTGAGGAAATTAAATTATGATTGTGAAATTGTTGTCATTTTCTGACTGTTCATTTGAATGCTTATACTGGACTAGGAAGGGAAATCTATTGGTACGTCAGCCCCACCAAGATTTTTTTTCACCAGCCGCCACTGATACAGATGAATACTGGGTAGATCTAGGCACGCCTCGGAGTCGTAGTGTGAACGGTATTTGCTCGAGACAGAGCAACCGCTCCAGCCTTAATTAAAAAACCGCTCAGCGCTCTGACCAAATTCCAACGGCTCCGCTCACATGCTCTGATACATATAACTTATTTTTGTGCACATTAACAATGCATTAATATTGTGGCCACCTCTAGACATACCTTTGCCACCCTGCTTAAAAATTCCTAGAACTGCCTCCCCACACAGGTAGAATATACAAACTCCATGCACAGAGGGCAGGGGTGGAATTTAAAATTTCAGCCGTGATGTGCGACGACATTGCTACCCACGAGCCACCCTGCTGCTCTAAGTAGTTATACATATTATTAAACATCTTCTATAATCGCTTCTCCAGGTATAAGGATGCCAATCCCAGGAAGCGCAGGGCATGAAAATAAATACCAATGTTATTGTTTTGATTGCCGCCGCAAAATAATTTGATCCATTTTTATTGGTACATCGAAGTCATATGCCCATTACAGCTAAGAAGCATCATCGAAAGGAAAACCTTTTCTTGTTTAGTACGAGACACATGCAATGGAAAATACAAGGCTTGAAAGTACAAGTGCGTCTTTTCGCCACAGAATCGGATGGGCGCGAGCTTTGCTATCGGAATAGGGGAAAAGTCGCTGAGGGTGAAGACTTCCGCTGTTTAGAAGCGAACCGTGTGCGCAGTCGGGGGCGTCCGCAGGGACTGTGAGCGCTGTATCGGCACGAACACCCGCACGCATACACACACCTTCGCCTTCTTTTTCCCAGACATTACTCCGCAACCGGACTGTGTAAATTTTGTAAAGGCTGAACTTTTAAACGTTTGCCATAAATATGGCGAGTTTGAAGGCGTTTCAGGAGCAGACTGGTAAGTTATAAATTATTTAATTTCAGAGTATGCGTAAGGAAGATATACTTTTCATTAGCGCGTTTGTGGAACAATTAATACCACGTTGTATCCTCTACACTAGTATCCTCCAATTTTAGGAAAAACATCATATCCATTTGGGTGTGTGAAACGTTATCAGGTAGTAGTTCAGTCAGTTATTAGGAAAAATGCTGTGCAGATATGTGTAAAGTATTTCGGTATCCGAGGTCGTGGGTCGAACTTAATTCAATTAATATTATAAATTAGGTTATAGCATATTGTCCATCGTATTATTAAAGTCAGTCAAGGGAAGTTTAAGATCAGATAAGCAGAACCCGTTAGAATAATATTAGTTTGGTAAGGCTAATAAAGTCTAATCTAAATCTAAAGGTGTGCCGCTCTGCAGTTTTATTTTTGAGTAATCCCCCAATATGAACATCGCGAGTCATTGATTTGGTTAATAAACTTTTTTTTCCCCTTTGGGTATCTTTGCTCATTTAACTGAAAAACTCCGAACGCGTTAATCGTTTTTTCCAGCATCACCAAGGTGATTCTAAATGTCATGAAGTTTTCCTCGTGAAATTTGTGTTAAAAAAAAAAAAACTTTAAACAGCAGCAGCGTGTTTGGACGTGTCGAGACCTCTCAAAAATAGCATTCAAATCCCTTTGAAGAATGGTACCAGTCTCTACAATTTCTTTAAAATGCTTGTTCTCTATAAGAAAGAAACATGCTTTGTATGTAGAGGTGGGGATTGGGATGTAGAACCATATGTGTGAAGAATTTTCCATTCATTTAAATGTACATATAGTAAGAATTCCTGAAGGATATTCAGGCCATGGTTTCACGTGGTTTTTTTTTGGGGGGCAGCTGAGCTGAATTGGTTAGAAACAGTATCTGCTGTCCTGCTCCAGTAGATCTGATGGTGTAAACCAGCAGTCCAAAAACCCCATTTTATAAGTTGTTGAGGGGGTGTACTGATTTCATCTGGAATTTCCATTAGGGACAGCATTGAAGCTATTTTAAACGCAAGTCATTTTTAGAAAATTGCATAGGCATCAGGACAGGTTGAGGCATACATTAAGGCTATTTCTGAATGAATCACATTTCCTAATGAGGAAACAAAAAGTGTATGTTCACTGTTGTAAATATTTTACCTCTTCAGGTAGTATGACACATAACTGTGTTACCATATGTGTCCTTTCTGTCCAAGTTTACCAGGTAAATGTCACGCATATGTTAGCAGCGTTTTTAAGGCTGTTTGACTAGGTTGGACTTTCACCATTTCTGAAGCAACCGATCACTGAGTGGCTGCTGTTCTGTGTGTGTCAGTTAGTCCCAAGAACAAATCCGCCTCTTTGTCCCTGGCAGACAAAGGCAGAATTTTACTTAAGAGGAGAAATAAAAATCATACATGTAACTAATCAACTTTCAACTGTACATCCACAACTCCAGTGGAATTGTTGGCAGAGCTGTGATTTATATCCAGACAGAAGTGTGGCACGTAATAGGTTTAAACGATCACTTGCTGACTTTATTTTGGTTATCTGAATTTTGGTCTAAAATATTTAACACACACTCCAAGATGTCTCAAATGCAGTCATGAGCTACAGCCCCATGAGTATCCTATTTGGAATCCTTCCTGAGCCCAGTACGCCCATAGCCACACAGAATGTTACTGCCTTCACCACTGTACTGGCCAATAATTCTTAAATGGAAGCCCACTTCCCCACCCACTCACAACTGGTGGATCGAAGTAAAATTGAAGTAATAAAGAAATATTGTTTCTCACAGAGTGAGAAGATTCTCGCTAAAAGGCTCCCTCAAACACTTCTACAGAACTTGGAACTGGTTTATACATTGCTCACAGAAAGAACTTGAGATGCTTGCTTAATTCAGTAAAAAGGTTGCAGATTTATTGGTATCATAACAAGGGTGCATTGACAAGCAATGTTTAACATATTTGCACAGATCTTCCACATAGACATTTTAGCAATGTTTTATTAAGCGTTGTAATTTTTTTGACTGACTCATTCAGTTGTGTGTGTCTGTCTACATATATAAAATTAGGGTTGTAGTGATATATGGTATGACAATTGATGGTTATAGTACTATATATATTTGGTTATTACTGGTATTGGAAAATGAAAATGCAACGAAACTGAGAATCTCACCTACGTATCTGATTTTTCTCATCGACTGCCTGTCACATTTGACAGTTGGCATTGTCATGTAAGATCTCTTCTACCATGTCACTACCTGATCCATACTGGCTGCCCGATTTGTACCTTGCATGTCTGCACATGCGTACAATGTTATATTTCAGCCGTGATTTCCCTCCCCAATCCATTCATCCCGCTGCTTTATGGTAATGCTTATCATGTACAATAACGGCAAACTATAGTGGTTACTTTATTATTTGACAAGAACTGGTGTTAATGATTCCGCTGACTGAAGGAAAATCCATTTTCTTTGCTTGTCATTTTAAGTGTTTACCTTTGTTTGATTACAGAACTCACTACAGTGGTCTATTAGCTTGTATTTCCATCAGTTTAAATTGCTACTATCCGGTATTTTGGTATAATTTGGTTCTGAAATATGAAATTTGGCATATCTTGCCTTTGTTGCAGCCATATTTATATTACTCCAAATGAGTGGGATCAGAAAAAATGGAAATGGAAATGATTAATTACATACATTTCTCCATTTGTTTGTCCTATTGGCATAATCTACTGAATTTGCTGCAGCGTAATAGTGGCAGCCTTTATGCACACCAACACCATGACTAGGGTACCTAGCGGGATCAATAAAAACACAGTCAGGCAAAAGTGCAGGTCCTATGCAAAATTTTTTATTAAACAGACAAACAAAAAGAATCCAAAATTTGAATATCTGCCTGAATATACCATTCTGAGCTGATGGAGATTGCTCACAAGCAGTCCGTAGGAACCTGATGTCGTGAAAAGAAATATTAACAAAGGTCTGACTACCTGACCAGAGGTTGGGTTGTGAAAATGTTGGCTGTGTCTGACTGCATCCTTCAAATGATGTGGTCTACGGAGTAGCCTTTGTAGGCTGCGTTCTTTGAGGGTCGAACCATCCCATTTGATAATACTTTCTGTTCAACCTTCAAAGAACGCAGTCTGTAAAGGCTACACTTTCATAGATTGGGTCCATCAAAGGATGCAGCCCCTGAATTTGGACACAGCCAAATTGTAGTCAGATTTGACAATTTGGTCTAAGGGTAATTTCCTGTTTTCATCACCAGCTGTTCCTCCCCTTACCCTTGAATACGAAGCACTACTCCAATTGCCTAGCTGGGACGCACCCACTTTACCTCTGTGCAATGAATCTTGGGATATGTTTGGCTGTGAAGGATCCATTGGGTGGATGCATTTCTAGGCTACATTTGAAGGAGCCTTCAAAATAGGACAGCCTTGTAGCACCACTGTGACATTTTCAGTCTTCGAATGCAGCCTTAGAAGGATGCAGCCCTTGAATTAGGACACAGCCCCTGTGAAACAAAGGGAGGTTCTCAGTATGCATATTTGACCATACTTGTATTCTCAGGTACCCATGTTACATCACCTTCCATTGCCAGAGACCAGTTCTAGTACTCAAGAGCAGAAGTACAGAGAACAGTGAAAATCCCCAGATGTCCTTCTTGCCCCATTCCACATGTAATTCTGTTAGATAGCCAGGTGCTAGACCTTTAAGTGCCTTATATGTAACTAGGAGAACTTTGAAGTCGGCCCTGTACCTAACAGGAAGCCAGTGCTTGCTGAGCTCCATTGGATCCAAACTTGGTTTCTTCAGTAGTGGTCTGATTACTGCTGCTTTAGATTGGTCAGGCTTATTGCCTGAAAAAAGGGATGCATTCATTATGGCAGCTATTGGCCTTACCATAACTCCCAGGGATTCCTAGGGATTAAAGAGCTTCTGGATTACCCACAAGACTTTTCACAAATTGTGCAAATGTTGAACAATTTGTTCACAAGAAGTTTTTTTTTGGAAACACGAAACTCTTCTCTCAGAGTGACAAGCATAAAATCATTTCAAGAGGAAAATGTGACATCTCATCACATTTAGTTAAAACTACAGTGGATGAAGGAGGTGCAGAAAGCACATTTTATTAGTAGATTGTGGTCTGATAAGTGCATTTTTGTATTTGAACCATGCTTATTAATAGACAGGCAGGTATCAGTATAAATAACTTTGATGGGGAAAAGATGAAATTATGAACTCTTGAACTAAAGGACAATTTATTACCCATTGTTACCAAGTAACTTAGCCACTGAGCATGGTATATAGTGGCACTGTGGGTAGCACTGTGGCCTCATGCTTCCAGGTTATGAATTGGATTCTTCTCACCAGCTGTGTGTGTGGCATTTGCGAATGATCCCCATATTCACATTTTTCTCTGAGTACGCTGATCTCCTCCCACAGTTCAAAGACTTGTAGTTATGTTGTGTTTTGGTGTCTGTTAATTACAGATATTGCTGTGACCCTGCAATGGAGAAGCAGGTGGAGGAAATGGATGGACCATTGACCATGATAATCCTAAATCTTGTTTGTCAGAGTGAAAAGTCATCAAATACAATTATGAGCTTTCCAATGACATTAAAATGTCGATTTTCAAATATGCTAAACCAGTTAAAATGGCTAATATGATTCTGTATGGGTGAAAATGTTTGTTGGAACTGTAATTATGAGTTAGCTTGCACAGACAGGTTTTACAGCACCATGTGTTGTTTATTATAGCCGTATGATAGCTCGTCTCGGTTAAAATATATCAAATCAGGTGGAGAAGCATCGAATAGGATCGAATATCGGATCGGTATCAGGACCGATCCAGGCCTATTTGATACATTTGGTGTAGGGTATACATGACCAATTCATGCCCGATACTTTAGCTTTTCGCAGTTTCTAAAATGATAGCTCATATTTCTTGTTAAATCTATTTGTACAATCAATCGCACAACAGCTCTTTGACATTTTGGATGTGTTTTTCCGGCATTCAAGCTGAACACTAATGCTGCCCCTCAATGGGTGTGAGTGCAGTGACTTCCACCTGCTGTGACATCATGCACATACCCTTCAAAGTAGAGGGAGCATAAGAAAATCAGATCTGTGAGAGGGTGACGATATGAAAGTATTATACGCTTTTTAACAGCAACTAAAATCCATATTTCTGTGATGGATTTTCCAAGAACGCACCATGCAGGCATTTATAAAGATGTTATGTAGCTTCATGATGTTTTTAAATAATATTTTTTTTAAATCCTGCTCTCTTCATAGCTCTACACATATGTATTTTAGAAACACTGTGTTTGATTCTATGGATTTATGTCCTCCAAGGATCCATCATGGAGTGGTGTACATTTCATCCTCTGAATGCTGTCCCAGGCGAGTACTTACACGCCTCTGCCTTCCCCGAAAGGACAAAACAATAGTTGGCTAAGCAGGCTCTGTTTGGATTAATGAACTTGAGAACAGGCTGAATTTAGCAGGCAGTTCAAGAGCAGGCCTCAGACGTGTCTGTGATGGAGGTGGAGTGGGCTGGGGGCAAAGCCACAGTAGAATGGAATATTTTGCTCTTATTCATTAAAATATCCCTCCTGTACCATGATGAAAGGCTAGAATGCCCCAGGAAAATACCATATAGTTCACAACATATTGCAATGCTAAAATGCTAATGTTAAGTGCCAGACCTGTTTAATTGACAACGCTTTCTACAGCTTTGCTTTTACATTAGCATAAACAGTTGAGTTAAGTTCTAACTTTTTTTGGCAAAAACCGGTAACACCTCTTTGTTTAGGATGGATAGTGAGCTGACCTGAAGAGTATCATCTTATCTGGCTGCTATGTCTGTGTGTTTTGAATATCCGTCCAAAGGTTATTTAGATCCTAAACACCATGCTTATCACATATTCGTGTTTACTGCAGCTGCTTTTCCTGCATCCCCTTCCTTGTTTGCAAAGCACATTGCTCTTAATCAGAAGCCTTGAAAGATCTAGGAGTTTATAAATAATTTCCTTTCTAGTGCCGAAACGTCTGTTATGAGTCACATTATTCATTTGTTTCACAGTTAGCTCGCATCAGATTGACTCAATATTTGTTCTGTCCTGTTCTGGTCAAATAGAGTCTCCTATGTACTGCTCAGTAAAGTACAGCTGCTGTTATTGCGTGAGAAATGATGTTTCATTGTGGTTTATTATTAACAGACATGACAGACCACACAGAAATTACTAGGAAAAGGTAGTAGGTGGACAATCTTCTTATGTATGTATGGTGAATTTCTTGGTACTAAGAGTGTGTCAGCTGTATGTTTAACACCAGCAAAATCAGATTTGAATGTGGCAGATGAGTGGGATTCAACCATGTGCTTTCCACAGATCCCTGCAGTATAATGACTGCTCAGATGTAAAGAGCAACTGGTGAACTGACCAGCAGCAGATTGAGTGACTGGTTAGCATGCAACTGCCAGGAACCCTCCTCACACTTCTTAATGTCCACCTGTCCTCCTCCTCCTCTGGTGTAACACGATCGCTGGCCTATGTTGGTGCATGTATGTGATACGGAATGATGTTCTCATGTAAGCCTTCCCCATAGCTTTATGGCTGTGGTTGAAAACAGTGTGTGGTCTGTGCCTGCCTCATCAGAGCACATACAGGGCTATGACATCTTTCTGAGCCACCCTATCCTGAGCTATTCTCTGTTTTATTTTCATGTTCCTGAATATGTATCTGCTTTGATTTGGGTTATTATTGATTTGGGTTATTGTTCCCTACTTACCCTTGAGGACTGGGTGGGGGGGTATTGGGAGTGGGTTGGCAGGCTTAGCCTTTGACCTAATATGACCCTACCTGGAAGGCTGCCAGTTTGAACTCTAGCCTCTTAACCCCCAGCATCGGGGGTGCTTCACGCTGGCTGACTCTGTACCTGCTCTATTTTTGAGATTAAATTATGAAACAAGTAACTTTGAAAAAACTTTTATTTTCATTTAAATTACACTTTCTGTACTCTTTGGAAAAAATCAGTATTGTAATGCTGCAAAATGTATTATCTTCTTCCTCAATTTTTTTAATCACCATTCAGTACTGGTATTTAGTCACTGCTGAACATCATCTCACAGGTGGAGAAGATTACACTGTCAGCTGTCAACATCTCATATTCTTGACATCACTGTCTGACAAGAACAGTCACACTCTGCAATGTCACATTGTAAATCAGCATCATGCAATTGTCCATTTACTCTGATGGTCAGAGTGACCATTTTTCCCCAATGTGAGACATTTTATTTTAATTACATAAAAATTTAATTATAGGGCTGCTTGATTATGCCAAAAATCATAATCATGATTATTTTGGTCAATATCCATCCATCCATCCATTTTCTGCTGCTTATCTGGGGTCGGGTCATGGAGGAAGCAGTCTAAGCAGGGTATTTTGATCAATATTTTAAAATTTAACACGATTCATTGAATTTGGAAATAACATGCATTGTTAAATTAAACGTGGCACAATCGTTTTCTTTTGTTTTGTTTTGATAATGATTAGAAACAAAAATTATAACTGAAAATAAAAGTAGATTAATTGCCCAGTCCTATTAAGCAATTATTGGCAGTGTTGGGGAAGCTACTCTGAAACTGTAGTTTGACAAGCTACAAGCTACTCGTAAGTTAAAGTAGTTAAACTACAGTCAAGCTACCCTTTTGGAAAAGTAGTTAGCTACACTACAAGTTACTATCAAAAAGTAGCTAGCTTTTGATTTTTTTGAACAACGTATATTATAAATAAGTGAATAAGTGTCTGAGGAATGTTTTAAGTAAAATATTTAGTGTTTAAAACAATGCAATACAATTATGATTTCAAAGAGTATTGTTTTATTACACACAACACTCAAATATCTGACTGTTTGTCAAAAGTGCAAAATTGCAACAAATACAACATTGCAAGAACGAAATATACATCCAACGTAAATTGCATGTAGAACATTTTCTCAAAAATACCGATTGTGAGATGGTTGCATTTTGGCAAGAAAATACATTGAACAACCGCTCACATGTGGCACTGGCAGGGAAAGAACTATCTGGTGTAGTTGCAGTACACTGAAACCTCATCCAAAACATTAACCTCCAAAGGGTTGTAATTTGTAATGTTACAAAAGCCTCAACTGAAGAGTAAGAACGCTTGGAAAATGTTAAGTATTTTAGTTGAACTGGCATAGTTAGTCACTGTTATTGTTATACCACTCAAGCAAAACAGGAATGGTTTCACACCATCAGTCGAGAATTGAGGTGCAGTGTCCTTCTAATAAGAGCAGGCAATAACAAAATGTATAGGCAACTCAATTTGTTCTCTTAACTAAACTGAAGCAGAAGTGCCTGACCTGTTAATTCGACACAAGAGAAGTTTCTCAAAATGACTGTCGGAAAGACGGTTTCGTTTTGCCACTTCTGTACGTCAGTGAACCATTAGCCGCAAGATGCGTGATTAAACAACAGGTGGCGGTAATGGCAAAAAATGAGTTTGTAATCTAAGAAGAAGAATATCCTTGCATCGCGCTGAATTCGCGCAGCTACACCGCTACTTGCTGCAAAAAGTAGTTAGCTACTGGAAAAGCTACACTGTTTAAAAAGCAACTGAGCTACTGCCAAGCTACTGAAAAATGTAGTTAAGTTAGTAGCGTCGCTACTTGTAGTTAACTACTCCCCAACACTGATTATTGGAATGATTACTTGTAAACAAAGGGTCAAAAGACAACAGATGAGCTAATTCTGAAGCAAGCTCAGTGTGAGACAGTTTGTAAAATAACTGACATCATGCGGTCTATTACTCTTCACTCAATTTGATTCTACGACACAAAACCAGTTTTCTCCCACTTAAAATCCTAATATTTTTTTAAATGCTTGAAGGTCAGGTGGATGCTCCCTTGGGGTTCATTGCTAAATGTTTAAATGAAAGTCCTTCAGTGGGCAGAAAAGAGTGCCTGTCTCACATAAGGTAACTCTAGAAAGGTCAGCAGAGCTCTGACCAGCTAGAGAGGGGGGGTTCCTGTGGTGTTTCAAGGCTACACAAAGAGCTCCGTGATCACTAGCAATTCCCCGTATCAGTTTTTTAGACTGAGAAAGCCGCACACCTTCCGGTGACACAAGGCCTGGTCATGTCCTGTTGTCGTCAGAAGACCTTTTCTATAACTTGTGTAAAAGTTTCTGGTTGACTAGTTTAAAGGTTGCTATTACTGTTTGTTAGAGAGGTTGGGCTGACATGACTGTTATTTATTTATTTACTAGTATTTAGTGTATAAATACATCTGTCTAGTGCATGACTTCTAAACCTGGTATTTTCAATGCACTAAAGTTATTAAATTCCCTAAATACCATCCTCGTATGGTGTGATGCTGCACACTAACAGTTAATTATTTTGATGTTCTACGGCATCTTGCACACTTTGAAGGCACCACTGACAGATTAATCTGGTCCAACTGTGTTCCTGTAAAAACTACTCTTCTGTTTTTTCGCTAAGTTTTTGAAATTACTTACAAATTCTAAATCATTGAGTGTTTGAGCAATTCATATTAAATGGTTTATCATTGGACATTAAGTACAAAATGATATAGGGGAATATATGCCGTGCATGTAATCTGTGTTGAAATCAGCTTTTCAGTCACGCAAAGCAGCTTTGCATAAACACTGCATTATGATTCTTCACATTCAGCTAAAGTCCTAAGGAAGGACCTTTGATGCACTCATGGGAATTGGCATGGAACTGAAGTAAAGTGCCAGATACAGGTAGCTAGTGTTAGTCTGACCATATGACAAAAATGCTATCGTGTGTCATCACACAGTTTTACAAGTTGTGGTGAAGGAAATGACATGGATTCCTCAAACAGGATGTGGGTTAAAATGTCTATTTTCAATGTAGCCTGTACGGTGCTTTACTATTCTGCAGAATCATTTTTTGTCTCACTTCTTCCAGATCAGATCATATCTGAGCCAGTGGAGGACACTGATCCCAGCAGCTTTGAATCAAAAATGGTATGCCTTTCTCCTTCTTAAGTATCAGGCCCTCTCTATCCATCCATTTTCTATACCTCCTTCAGTTAAGAAACAATCTACCTGTCTTCTAGGGTCTGGGTTAAGTCTAGATTCATATTCAGCTTCTGCATGTAAGCTACAGTGTGATCTTTTAAGTGGGAATTACCCATTGCATATTGCTTGTGCAGAGGGAGCACATGCATAGTCTGACGTTTTACTGTATTTATGAAGGCTGGCGCAAGAGCTGTGATGACAAGCTGCCACATGTCTTTCTTGTATCATCCTTCATACTGCAAAGTATAATTTTCCCCTGTTACAGAGACCAGTGCCTTTATCTTCACCAGCTGTGTCTATCTCTCGAAATGTCTGTAGTTATCCATCCACCTTTTTGGAAGTAAATGGTGTCCATCAACTTATGCTAGGGTCAGATTTATTATTATTTTGCATAATGTGTCCCAAAAGTGTATGTGTTTTGTCTGAAATAATATTGTCACAAAGGTCTTAAGACTTATTCTCTTCCATCCAGTCCTTAAAATCCACCCATCCTGTTCAAGTCACGGAGCCTCAAGGTAAATTTATTAACTTGCTCCTCTGTGTTCCTGCTGTGACAATTCTTACAAAAAGATATAGTGCCAGTTACCGAGATGGAGTTTCCCTTAATCTATATGCATCAGTAATGAAGCTTGAGACACACACTGTACGTAGAGCTTGAGGCCTGTAAATCAGAAAGTAAACCATCTCGAGGCTATCGCTGTATATTTAATCTGATGTGATCTGTAGGCACTCTTTTTCTCCACTTGGCCATTTTCCCCCCAGATTAAATCTTTCCAAACAAATGAAGGTTGAATATTTATTGCTTAGTGGAAAATGAGGATGAATTTAAAAGTATATTACAATGTATGTCCTGCTTTGGACAGACCCAGTGACCTTGCAGCTAACGTCCATGCCGCCTGGTTACCTGACACCTTCCTCTGAACGGATACAGCAGGCAAGTCATGTGATTTTATTAAACCTTAAAAAAAACAACATTAACACACACACAGCCCCTTCAGGAACATTGATCACTGACAGCAAGCATTGTGCTACAAAAAAAGATGCCAGTCAATACTTGCACAAATTGGCATGGGTCCTGTTGCCTATCATAATTTTTTTCATTTAGGACAATTTTCCTTGTAATTGCTCCAGTTGTTTCAAAGCTGGTTGATGTAAAACTGTCTTTTGGTGTGTATAATTCTGTAACAGTTAAGCATGGACAAAAGCGGTGAAAACACAAGTGAAATTAAAACTCTGCATTTTTCAGACTTTTTTTTATGACAACATTTGCATCAGAAGTTTAATTTCAGTGTGGTGGCAGTGAAATGAACCTTTTATTTTTATTAATTGTAGCCGGTTGACAGTGGGAGCAAGTATGTATATCCGGGAACAATTTCATCAGGTGTGTATTTTATTATTTTATTGCTATTAAAAATTGAGACAATGACCCTAGTCCTCCCCACTGTAGTTAAACCCCTCTATTTTAACACCCTTGTCTGCATGTGATGTAAAAGAAGCCCCCCCACCCCCGCTCCACTTGTAAAAACAGACCAACCCGTGGCTTTACTCCCCCCTCAAATTCAGATTTATTCAAAGACCTGCAGTGTTCAAATGGCTCCTGTGAGAAGTGCTGCTGCCTGGCACCCCCACCCAAGATCAGTGACCTGATGAATGATGAGGACCTTCTCTACACGCTACGTCTGAAGCTGGACCCCAGCCATTGCACCATCAAGAACTGGAAGAACTTCGCCAGTCGCTGGGGCATGACCTATGACGAGCTAGTGCTGCTGGAGCACCGGACACAGGGCTCCGCCCACAGCCCCACACAGGAGTTCCTGAGACGCTACAATGAGAAGAGTGTCACAGAGCTGACCGAGCTGTGCCGAATCTACCAGCGCATTGACGTGCTGCGTGTGCTGCAGCGGTGGGTGGAGAATGACTGGCCGTCTCGCTGGCAGAAAGCACATTAGACTGTTAGCTGAGCTGGGCCCCAACTGTGGCCCTTATCTCTATAAACAGTGTGGTTTTCTCATCATTGCCACACTTTTGTTTTGGTTGCTGTTTAATCAGAGGAGGACTGACCCTCTGGCACAGTTATTCCTGTAGGTCACAAGCCTTGTGGTAACATTGTCAGTGGTTTTTATGGACTGACTGAGAACAGCAAACACACACATCACCCTACAGATGGATTCTGCTTCCAAAGCGAGTGTAGACAAACACTCAAGGACGAGACTCTGCTATTGACATGTCTCTCCCACAACGTCAAGCTCCTTCCACTTGCAGCTCTGTCTTGTGCAGCAATGTCACTCTTATAATCAGAACAGAGTGGGTTATTCTGTGCATCTTCTCCACTGGTGTCTTCAGTTGTATTCTGGATAATTAGATTACTGTGTTTCCTGAACTCTTTAATTTGTGAGTGTTCTTAGTTTATACATTTGTGAGTGATCACCGTAAGATCATGTTGGTTATTAATCATTTGTTGACCCATTAAAATCAATAAAGTGCACTACTGTCTAGGAATAGAATTGCATGGGGGTTTATTTTCATTATTTTTACTGAATTACAAGATGGTGTTCTTGTGTTGACCCATGGTAACTGTTTACATGTTAACATTTCAATCTGAAATTGCAGTAATTTTTAAGGAAAAGCTCAAAATTTGTAGAATCACTTTGGAAAGTAGATTCAATAATGAACTTCCGGTTCTGGGTTATACTGCCCAGCACCGGAAGTGAGAATACTTATTTAAATTTAAAGGCGGAATATAAAGGTCAGACTGTGGGGAAACTTAAGACCCTACAAGCTCAGGGTCTTCTGAAGTGGTTGGTGTAGCTCAGTTGGTATGATATAACATTTTGAAGGTTCAAAAGTAACACGTTAAAGGCCAAAATAATTCAAAATCAAAAATTTGAGAAAGACCCAATATTGATATGTCATTGTTGATCCAGAATCCAGAAGATTGCTTTTTGCGTGTTTATAAGTTCTTAGCAAACAGGGTTGTTGTTGTGATATCTGATGCAAATATGTGAACATGGGAATATGACTTATTCTTTATAAAATGTCCACCATTCTCAGAATGGGTCATAATTTATTTAATTATTTGACAATTCTGTGAACTTTACATGTAATTTTCTGTGGGTGCTGTTTTTTTCTGCTCAGCCTATGTTGTTTTACATTTGAATGACCATTAGTTTTTAATTTCAGATTATTTGCTAATTTTGCATTTGGTAGAACATTTATAGAATTAACTCTTCTTTATATTTATTGCATTGACTCCAAAGTAGTATTGGGAAAAAAAATTATAAAATTAAAAAAATAAATCAAAATAATCTCGCATAATGTCTCATAATGCACATGTTTTGAGAATCTGTATTAATATTTAAGTTTAAACAATAGCAAAATACTATTTATAACTTAATCAGTAAATGAATATTAGGTTGTACATATTGTTCAGATAATTGAAGACCAAGATTGTTATGGATTAGTACATCGAGGATGCTTCTATTTACTTTGCAAGATTCATGATTTACTCAAATTCATGTCATAGTCTGGCAAGTTGAAAATGAAAATATTAAAACTTTATAAACGCTAATATTAACATAAATGATTCAGGATTCTGTGTGATATTTAAATTATATTTATTGAACATGTTAATAGATGACCTTGTAAATAATACATCATTTACAATATGTATTATGCAGAAAAAGTTGAATACACACATTAAGAAGCTATATTACAGTTGCTTTAATCTCATTCGACTCTGGATGTATGTCTAATGATTTTTCTTAGTTATACAAAATAATATATCATATGAGTTATAACATTACATATATACCATAAACGGCTTTACCTTTTTAGCTAGAGATTAAGGACAGTATACACAAATAATGTATTTACAATGGAGTAATGGCAAATTTTAAAGATTGCACATTTGTACTTTGCATTCATTTCTAGTTCATTTATTAACCATATAGGAAAATCTAGTAATAACCCATTTTCTGCATTAGGAAACTTGTTTACTCAGCTATTAGCTGCTTCTGTTTGTTGCAGGTTTAGCCCAATGTGATACCATTTGCCATCTTTTTTCTGATTCCCAGGTGTTTTACTGCTGGATAATTTTGGAAGTATTACATCTGGCTTAATTACTTTCTATGTATCTGCATTGACCCCAAAGCTGGGACCAGTGGCATCTTGTAAGACTTCAGAGAGTATGATATGGGATAAAGGTGTTTCTGCTGATAAGTTTCACCAGTTTTCACTGAAATAGTGTTTAAACATTTGCAGCCTTTCTTTGATGTCTAAACATGGTGATGATACCTTTTTTGAAATTCTAGGAAATCAGGTATGCAAGTATCTATCAAGTTAGACTATGGCTGGAAACATGTAGATCTTTGAAGTTCATTATGAGACCTCAGAGTTGCCTGTTGGGGCATTAACGTTTCTTGAAAATCTGTGAAATTTAAAAACTGGTACCTCCAATTCAGGCAGTGCTTCAGTAATCTCTGTCTCACTATGTTCCAAGCTAATATCAGATGTTGGCATATCAATATTTATGCCTAGTTCAGGACTTTTGAGGTAATCTTTTGTTAAATCCGCATTACTTTCATGACTTTTTTGTTTACTTATAACTCTGGGGACAGACACACTGAAATCAGGAGTCTCCATACTCCTATATAGGTCACTATCTTGTACTTTTACTGCTGGCCCTGATAACCCAATATTGGGCATTTTTAAATTTGGCACTTTAACTATTCCTGAAGGAACATCAGTGTCATATTTTGGAGCATGAAGACCCAATTCAGTGCCTTTGAGGTTAGATTTTTGTAAATTAACAATTTCAGGGGGATTCAATTCCCCTCTAATTGTGGGCACTGTAAAATCAGGTTTATTTAAACTGGACTTTATGTTGAGATCTGAGTCTGTCACTTTTGACCCTGAAATTCCAAATGTTGGTGTTTTAGCAGCTGGAATTTTGAGCTCTCCGGCAATATCGGGGTCTTTCATGCTGAATTTGGGACTGTCAATGTCTGCATTTGGTGAATTTATACTTTTAAGTTGTCCTGAAGGAGCATCAATGTGAAGATAAGGAGATGTTAGATGTAGGTCCGAGCCAGTTAGGTCAGCTTTGGGTAAATTCATATCTATGTTAGGAGTGTTGAGGTTTCCTTCAATTTTGGGGGCCGACAGATTCAGATGTGGTGTATTTAAATCTGTGTCGATTTCTGGTCCTTTAACATTAGGTCCAGAGAAACCAAATTTGGGTTTCTTAAAATTAGGCAAATTGATTTTGGCTGAAGGAACATCAACGTCAAGATCTGGAGATTTCAGATCTAAGTCAGCGCCAGATAATTTGGCTTTGGGTAAATTAGCATCAATATCTGGAGTATTTAGTTTTCCTTCAATTTTGGGGGCTGACACATTCAGATCTGGTGCATTTAAATCTGCGTCAATTTCTGGTCCTTTAACTTTAGGTCCAGAGAAATCAAATTTGGGTTTCTTAAAATTAGGCAAATTGATTTTGGCTGAAGGAACATCAGTGTTAAGATCTGGAGATTTCAGGTCTAGGTCAGGGCTAGATAATTTGGCTTTTGGTAATTTAGCATCAATGTCTGGAGTGTTTAGTTTTCCTTCAATTTTAGGGGCTGACAGATTCAGATCTGGTGCATTTAAATCTGCGTCGATTTCTGGTCCTTTAACTTTAGGTCCAGAGAAATCAAATTTGGGTTTCTTAAAATTAGGCAAATTGATTTTGGCTGAAGGAACATCAGTGTTAAGATCTGGAGATTTCAGGTCTAGGTCAGGGCTAGATAATTTGGCTTTTGGTAATTTAGCATCAATGTCTGGAGTGTTTAGTTTTCCTTCAATTTTGGGGGCTGACAGATTCAGATCTGGTGCATTTAAATCTGCGTCGATCTCTGGTCCTTTAACTTTAGGTCCAGAGAAACCAAATTTGGGTTTCTTAAAATTGGGCATCTTGAATTTGCCTGAAGGGGCATCAATGTCAAGATCTGGAGAGTTCAGATCAATGTCAGGGCTGGAAAATTTGGCTTTTGGTAACTTAGCATCAATATCTGGAGTGTTCAGTTTTCCTTCAATTTTTGGGGCTGACAGATTCAGATCTGGTGCATTTAAATCTGCATCGATTTCTGGTCCTTTAACATTAGGTCCAGAGAAACCAAATTTGGGTTTCTTAAAATTGGGCATCTTGAATTTGCCTGAAGGGGCATCAATGTCAAGATCTGGAGAGTTCAGATC